AACTTGCACAATTGGTGGCTGACTAAATACTTTTTTGCCCCACTGTATGTATACACGCACAAACACTCCTGTATTCTTTTGGGAAGGTGGAAAATGAGACTTTATGTGCATTCACCTCTTAGTAATACCCTGCTATTGACAACATTTTGCTTTGTTGGGGGATGGAAGAGTTTCCTGTAGCAATGACATAATCTAACATAGAAACTACATCTTCCACAAAGGAGTTCTCATTTTCACAACTCCTGCTGTATATCCAAGTGTATTTATATAGTTATGAAACTACTGTGTTAGATCAGGCTATATAGCACAATAAAGAGAAATTGCTCCTAATGCTCCACAGAAATAATATATGACCAGCCAGTTCAAAAAGGCTTTTTTTTTTCTTGTAATAAAACTGCTGCTAGTGATTTCTTGAGGGAACACTGTCTTTCCCCAAAATTATGTAGCTTAAAAATGCCTAACTATCAACAAGAGGTGTCTATCCTGGGCCATTTTGATAAATCTGCTTGGATTTTTCTGAGACATTCATTTGGGAAAGCTAGTGTAGTATAAGATAATGTAGTGTAGGGATTAAGGTGTTAGTCTTATACATGGGAGACATAGATTTGAGTTCCCGCTCGCTGGTGACTGAGTCATCCAGCTGTAATCCAGTACATCTCATGCAAGTGTTAATGGAGGAAAATAATAAGAGGAAATTTCATCTTGACTTTTCAGAGAAAGGGCATGATATAAATGCAATAAATAATTAAAAATGCATTTTAGAGTGGCAATGGAAACAAATGCCCCAGGCCCCATACACAAACAGGATCCCATATAAAATATAGTTCAATACTTGAAACAAGCAGATGGATGGATACTTTACACTCAAGGCATTAACTGAATAATCAGTTAAAGGATAATCCAAAATCTTACTTCAGTATTTCAGATTCCTCTCTCATTCTTGTTTACTGGCCACTGATTTTGAAGGATTGAAATTTTGTTTATGTTTCCTTCATCTACTCAGTTCTCAGACTTCTTTAGGGAGACTCATGTATACCAAAGCAGAAAAAAGAGCAGTCTTTTTTCAGTAATATCCTAAATTTAAAGTTCAGAAAAGGAATAAATCCTTCTTTCCCATGAAAAATATACAGGAAAGAAATCAGTCACTGAATATCAGTAAGTAGCCATATTTTGATCTGTCATCCCCTTTCTTTATAAAATGCTTTTCCCACCAAATTCTTTGGTAATATTTGGTTTAAGAAAAGTCAGTCTCTTATGCATCTAATCAGAGTGCAGGAGAGCTTAATATATTTCTCTGCTATATCTGGAAAACCAGTGCAAAAAGTACTGATGAACAGAAAATGCAAATTTCATGGCGAGGGAGGAGTAAGAAATGGAGACTGTATGATGTTTGTGCCCTCTGCAAACCAGTTCCTTTCAAATATGAATGGAAATAAGGCCTTTAGGTATCTATACAGCATATTTTCCCATGGAGAGCGGGTGGATGGATGGCTCAATCAATCAATCCATAATCAGCCAAAATTGTTAGAAATACATGGGGTGTGAGGAGAAGAATACACAAACTTTTGGGAGGAGTAAGTGGGCATCAGATTTTTTACAAATGAAAGACATGGTAGGTGAACAAAGGAAACAATGGTGAGCCTGAGAAAGATAATTATGGTATGTGTTTATCTTCACAGAATGGTAAACTATATTTACTTATCTTTAAAAGTAAATATCATTCTAACATGTGTACCTTTTCTGAATATAAGAAACAGAACACATGCACTGCTGCCAAGGCATCAAACAAAGTATATGCATTTCATTAATGAGGCTGATTAATGTGGCACGGATTCCAAAAATTAACAGTAGAAAATTCATAAATAGGGATTCACACAAAAAAAATTGATGCAGATTTTATGGAGGCATTTGGGAAAACAGGAGTTTGTTTTCTTATGTCTGCAAAAGTAGTAAAACAGTGACTACACTTGCAAATAATATTTAACCACAGGAGACATATCCAGATGCAGACTCCTTTAGTGCCACTACTGAAAATGCCCTCAGATAGGTCTGTGTTTGCTAATATGATGAATGGAGAGTCCTTTGAGAGCACAACAGCCAGCTGCGTCAAGGTCAAACATTAATAAAACCCCTTGGCCACTGCCTCTTACCCAGTCTGACGTAGAGCACATATTGCATGGAATCCCGGGGTTCTGTGTACAAGATGCTGCCACGCATGCTGAGCCAGATGATTGCAACTTCGGCGATCATGCAGCTGAGCAAAATACCCAGATAGCCTCTGCCATGGTCAACCAGATTGAGAGAGCAGGTCTCATTGGGATTGTATGCCAGTCCAAAGAGCACCACAGAAAGGATGATGAACCTGCCGTACACAAGCCACATTCTCTTGACAAACCTTGAGACAGTATATACACGGCTAAGTACTTTTAGGCATATAAGGATCCAGAAGCCTAATGTTTATTAGTTTTTTTTTTTAATTGTTGTGGTTTGTTTTGTTTTTATGTAGGCTGAGAAAGGAAGTATCACTTTTTTAATTTCTGGGAATAGTTAGTACTATATAAATAATCAAAACTGCTTGCAGATTTTGAAATCAACTGCTGCCAATAAAAGCTTATCCCATAATAAACTTACTATCTCTAAGATTCTGTAGCATGTATAATATTTTGTTCACAAGTTATTTTGATATTACTCATGAAATAAGCATGTCAAGGTTTCCTGGGTTAGCCCTAAAATCACAGTGATTTTATGTACAGGTGGTTGTGGGGTTCTCAGATAATAGAAAATACCAGTTGAGTCAATAGCAAAGCTGTGTTTCATTAATTAATTCATTTATGGATGCTATACATTTCTGGTGCTGCTCTAATAGTAAAATGCTGGTGGTTAGCTAATGAAGGTTTTTCCGCCCACGTGAAGATTTCTGGATGGTGTCCCAGAACACACTCTGTGTTCCTCTGCAATACAGAGGGAAAAAAGGGAAGGCTGCTTCAACCCCCTTGACAGATCTATCTGCTTCTCCATTATGTCAGGAGGTCTGGAAACGGGAACAGTAAAAACCTGCACATACTTCAGTAGTCAGCAGAGGGCAGGAGAAAACACTCCCACATGCAAATTATAATGTTTCTATCCCAGCACAGTATTTACCATGCTTGCCAACATAATAATATATATACAAAATACAAGAGCATGCCTATGCAATAAAACCCAATGCATCTTAACTATCACAGCCTCCCAAATTTCATAAATTTGCTTGCTTATAAGGAACATGCCCAACAACATGAAGATTAACGAGCCAGTTTGGTCTAGTGGTTAAGGCACCAGGCTAGAAAGCAGGAGACTATGCATTCTAGTCCCATCTAGAAAAACCGGCTAGGTGACTTTGGGACAATCACTCTCTCTCAGCCCAACTCACCTCACAGGGTTGTTGTTGTCGGGAAAATAGGAGGAGGAAGGAGTATTAGGTATGTTTTGCCACCTTGAGTTATTTAAAATAATAATAAAGAAAGGCGGAATAAAAAATAAATTAAAAAAATGACACACACATACAATCATCAGCAACAATGAATGAATTCTCCATGAACAGTAGAGTTGGGGGAACAGACATCAGGCTAGCAAGTACTAATTTGTTTTGTACTAGAACCTTGAAATCTAACAGGAAACACAGTCTCATAGCAAAAGAATTCTGAAGTCAGATACTAATTTTAGATGTCGGAATTGAGCAGAGGCCACCACCCTTTCACACAAAAAACTCTTGCATCCTGAAAACATTGCTTTGTTTTATTTCATTTCACAGAAATATATTGATATTTTGTTCCTTTGTTTGAGCAAAAGCTTCAGGAATTATTACTGACTTACGGTAAATCACTGAAAGATCTGTCAGTAGATTCACAGCCTGCCAGTCTTTGTTATAAAGAATTTTCACAATATACTGGCTTTGGAATAGGCTAAAACAGCAACAGAGAACTAGTTTGATTGTAGTCCTTCAACCCCCAGTTTCAACTAGTGGTTGAAGGACCAGGCTAGAAACCAGGATACAGTGAGTTCTAGTTCTGCCTTTCCCACAAAATCAGCTGGGTGATGTTGGGCAAGTCATTCTCCCTCAGCCCTAGGGAGAAAGCAGTAGCAAACTGCTTCCAAAAAGGTTGCCCAAAAAAATACCTGTCACCAGGAGATGAGTCTGGCTTGAAGGCATACTGTAAATACACATACAAACATACTGTTTCATTACTACAAAGTCCACTGGGCTATGAGTGTATTATTGCAAAAAAAGGATGATTACTGAGTAAAGCCAATATTAATGAACACAGCAATTTTCAGTTGAATCAACTGGTTTACAACCAACGAATACTAGGAATATGACAAAAATTAATAGTACAGCTAGCAAGACAAGGGAAGATATTTATGATAGTCTAACCAATTATAATTGTCATAATCAATACTAGTGTTTTTATTGCTCAGCCATACACCACTAAAAAGAAGTTCGTAAATTTCTGTTCCTGGAATCCAGGAAGGGTTTTATGACTTTGCCTTTTATTAAAGCAAGTTTATGTATTTATGCAGCCACACTGAATATTAAAAACAGGAGGCTGTTTTTCAAGGTAATTTCAACTGGTCCACAGTTCAGCCATCTAGTTAGGAGATGTAACCTAGGGACTCTATGATACCTAATAGAGCCCAATCCATTTAAGCCTGCCCCACTTTTTCCATTCTTTGTTAAATCTTTGACTGATCTCTGACTGGGTCGGTCGTCTGTCTGTCTGTTTATCTATCTATCTAATTTTGTGATTTTAATGTCAATTGAACCATTTTTCTTCATCTACTTTCTCACTGCCACCACGTTCTTGTAACATTTGTATAATAAAAAGATCTGGAGATCTCAAAAATGTGTTTATGGTTTTGTACGTATTTGTTACTAATAAAGATAACACTTCATTATTGACACTGGATTTTTTTTTCTTAGGAATCAGTATGACTCACTTTAACTATAAAAATATTAATGGGTTGATATGGAACAACTGCACTTGCCTCCAATCTGTTTTTGAGCTTTCAAAATGTAGTCTTAATCCAAGAAGTTTCTTACTGGATGCTAAAACGGTTGGGCTTTTTCAGTGGCAGGACTTACACAGAAGTCACTCAAACCAATTCTATCTTTTCCTTTGACACTGACAGTATGATTTGAATGGATTTATATCATATTAATTATCAACTACTACAATCATGGGTATCATTATTGTGGTAATTCTATTATGTTGCTTTTCAATTTTTTTTTAGCTGATTTAAGGATAAACTGGATACTCCAACAACTTCCCTGAAGGCATTACAGAGCCATGTTAGTAGAATAAAAAATTTATAAAGAAAGATTTGAGCCTGAATTCATCTACATACATAGATCCACTTCCACATTGCTTTGTATATATGAACTCTAACAGGATATTTTAAATTGCAAAGTAGTATTAATACCTGGAAATGAAAATTGCAAAACTAGCATCAATGGCTCATTACCTAAAGCATGGGAATCTTCTTCTCATGTATATTTTTACTTACCATGTTGTATGAAGGAGAAAGAGAAAAATGGCTGGCAAAACAAGATCATCACTTCCCACAGACCAGCGACGACGGAACACCACAATGCCTGGCATGGCTAGTGAGTCTGAAAAGGGTCACCAGGCACAATATTAACTTTCTATAATAGAAACACAAACAGCAGAAACATAATTGCTTCCAGATATGACAATATCAACATTGTTCCAGTATTACAAATTTCTTTTAAAAAAATTATTTTCTAGACATATTGCTTCTAAAATTCTGTGTTAGTTAAAAGTCTTGGAAGAATCAGTTGCAGCTCTTAAACTCATAACCCATTTTTATGAGAAGTTAAAGGATTTAGATTAAATTAATACTGTTTATGTTACTTCTAGAATAACCTGATTCAGTGATCTGTTCGTGTAAATCAATGGAAGCTTACACCAAAAATGTAAACTGTTACTTTTTATTTTAAAATGATGCTACCATTACAGAAAATGTGCTTTTTACATATTTGATCCCTCAGAGAATGTTTAGTAGATGTTGAATGCATCTCCTTGCTTTTGGAGATCAACAAAAGTTGGATTGCTTAACTGACATGATTTGGGCTCATCTTACTATTGACACATAACATCCAATGGAGTTGAATCCATTGGATGTTAACATGGCTAGACTGATTGCTGCTTGTAAAAATGCATCTATTTTTGTTGGTTATATCCATCTATTTTAAAAGTTTGAAATGTGCTGTCAATGTTTGAATTAGGATTTGTTTTGGGGCTTGGGTTTCTGTAAAAAGGAAAGGAAGCGGACTATTAACAATTTGGTTTGTTTCGTGTATAAATTTCAAGTTTCGTTTTTCTTCTCTTTTTTAAAAAATAACTCACATTGCTATCACAATTTATAGACACAAGGAAAGACAGAAACACACTCACACATACAATCATACACTGTTATTTGATTGGTCTGACTTAATGAAATATGAAAATTATATTAGATCTAGGGGCATAACATGGTGGATTCATATCTACACCAATCACATGCGCACTCATGCAGACTTTAACATAAAAGGAGATGTGCAAAAAGTGCCACAACTTCTACTTTGTACAATATATAACTGCATAAACCAAACATTGTTTGCAGCTTTATCATGTCATTTCCATTATTCCATAAAACTCTGGAGGATCAGTAGCTGATTTTGCCATGAAGCATTTTTCTGGTTACCAGATGATGAACCTGAAATGAAAAAATTAACTCCTTTTCTAGTAAGAAGGTAGGGTCAAACAAAACTGTACTCCTGACTCTAGAGAAAATCCCCTTAAGTCACAGGAATTGACTTCGGTTGTATAGACTATTGTTTTGTTTCTTGTAACCAATAAAATAAATCCATATACTGAAACATAAAGGAAAGGGATTTGATTTGGATTACATGCGTGCTACTTCAGGTGATGCTGCTGAGTCTTCTGTTCAGACAAGAAGGGCATTTCATGGTAAGTTCATGATCTCCAGAAAAATAGAGCCTACAGAAAGTAACCACTGGGGTTAACATCTTCAGCCTAGAGCACTCTGGAGGATTGTGCAGGAAAGGCCGCATCTGCAGAGGCAAATTGTGTATCTTGTAATGTTAATAAATGTGGAAAAGCTAGCTCAATTATCTACATGTTGAAATCTCTCAGCTATCTCTACTTTGAGGTTGCTCATGTCACTATTCCTCTAAAAGGCCATGATTCCCCCTAGGGATCAGCTGCTACATGCAGAGTGAACCAAAAGACGCATCCTCTAACACAGTAAGTAACTGTGCAGTGGACACCAATTTTCCTGATTTGTAGAAGATAAAGAGGCTAACTACTGGAATTCTAGCATATGGTTTAGGTAAATTTGAGGTGCCTGGCACACATCCAGCTTACGCCCTGTATACATTACCTGGAGTGGGATGGGTTTGGGGCAGAAATAAAGTAAAACAATTTCTTGTGGCCACTGAAAGGTCAGGTTTACCTTAGATGTGAAATAAGATCCATCTTCAAAATTTCTTTGCCTTGACGAAAGATACAAAAATCTTCCTGGATTGACAGTGCACCCAAATCCCCTACTTCTAGGTCAAAATCTTAATTGGGATCTGCCTAATTGCTTTGAATTGTATAGACTTTAGTTCCTAGAAGATTAAGTTCTCATGTGGGAAAGCAATTAACTCCCAGTAGGAAGAATAGCTTGTAGCTGGCCACATTAAAGAAGTTGCATTGCACTTTCCAAATGTTGTCCATTGTCATTTCTGTATGCTTTCAGTCAGAATTATGCCAGACACATTCCAAATCATACTTAACAAATAACGCCCCCCCTTTAGTTTTTGTATTAATTCTTGCTAATTCTTCTGATTCTCAGGCACTGATGTAGTTTTCACAAATGATAAATAAGTTGCACAGCCAATCCATAAACAAACGACATCCATATTTTAATATGTTTACATTACACCATCTACACCAGCAGCCTTACCATTTTTCAACATTCTCAGAGCATTTATTACTTCCTTTTTATTATTATTTTTTTCATGGATAGTAACATTTATACTCTTTCCAGCATTTTGTTACATTTCAAATAAATTCATCAACTATATCTTTAATTTCATTCACTCTGCTGGAGGTCCCTTTTCGCTCACATCTGAAACAATCTGTTATTTTTATCAAAATCACTTTGCATTTTTTCTGCCTTTTAAAATCTTAACTGTTCCATGTTCTCTTTCACATTCTTTACAACCACCTTTCTTTCTATATACACAGAATATGGTAACTTTATCTCATCCGCATTTGTTTGCAGCAATCATTCTCTAATATGTATTTTCCCCTCATCCACATCCTCTTTCATTATACTCTTACATCAAACATCCTTTTCCCTATTTCCCATTAGTGCTATTCTACACATTTCTATGGCACTTTCTAACAGGTCTAAACAACTTCCACATCCTCTTTCTTCAGTCTTCTTTTCATTCATTTTGAAACTTTTTTATTCTGTCATTCTACTTTCACTCTTGTTTCTTTCACATTTTCCCCCTTCCATTCCATTTTCTCCCAAAATCCACTCTTGAAATGACCTAACAACATCTTTGTAACCTTCACTAATTTTCTCAATATCACACATCATCAATAATCAAATAAATCATGTCTCTGGATTCATTCCTTATGAATATGTACACATGACTAGATCGCATATTTTATACCAGTATTTTAAACTCCTTTTCTAAGCAGATACTCTCCAGTCAATTCTCATTCTTGGGTCTTCAAACGGCCAAGTCATTTTTCATACCCTCCATCTCATTCCCCACCTACTGTTTCATGTCACCTAACAGAAAAACATTGATGTAAATGTGATGATGAATCACACTCCAAAAATATGGAATATGACACTATGAAGAACTCCAACTACACTGACCCTGGGCTTCAGCTAAGAGAATTAACCTCCATAGGTGGAATGAAGACAACACTCCAAATGTTAAAGACTCCAGTGATGCATTCTTTTGTCTACTTTTGAAAAGTCTTTATACTGTAAAAATGAAAAGATGGAGCAATATGTTCTTTATAGTTTAGATTGTACTGTTAGAGTACTGAGCTAAGTGTATATTAGTATTACAGGATTGTTCCTTTCTCTATTTAATTTTAGTTTATTTTAATCACTATTATGGATGATTTATGTATTATCACATAATATACAATTACCTTGCAAGCCAACATATTGTTGCCTGCACCCCACCAACTAGGAGGTATATATAGTGTGCTGATACACACTCAGGAACCCATCCTCAAGATATGTTTTTATATCCTTTAGTGAAATACTTGGACTGATACAGCACACTGTTCTATACATAGTCTAAACACAACTAGCAAAGATGTCCATTCAGTTTCAGTGTCTAGTGGGCCTATTTTCAATGTCCTTAAACAAATGGCAGCTGTGATTTTTTGTCATTCCTTCTTCACTACTTGTACAGCTGCTAGAGAAGTATAAACTGACAGCACAGATGCAAATACATTTTTACAACTATTGCTGAAAGTCTGGTAACAGTTAATGATCTACAGTACGTCTCAATCAGGCACAAAGTTATTGTGAATTTTAAGCTGATCTATTGCTTTTTCCTGTACTTTAACTCTCCAGCAGCCTAAGCATGAAGCTACCCAGCAGCACCCTCAGTACTACATCAATACATCTTAGTTCTAATCCCCATTTGCCTCCATTGTTTTTTCAAATATTAAACAAGCATTGTTCTCTTAAGAAAAGAACAAAACCTAAATCATCTAATTGATATTATGCATTACAACTAGGACTTGTTTCATAGAACACTTTTCTGGTCATTGGCAATGTATACTTCTAATATTATCAAAAGAGTTATTGTTTTATACTAAATTCACATTCCATTTTAAGTACTCTCACTAGATCTGTAATCTTCCACAATGAGCTCTAAGTGTGAAATTGCATCAGAATCTCAAAATGCCATTATTGAATAAAGTGCAACTAAAGATATATTGCGAAGAATCTACACTATTCATTGCTTCTCTCTTCTTTTTAAATCTGAACAACCTTCATAAAAATAGACTTATTACTTTCCCATGCCAGATCTTCACTGGGATTTGTTTCTGTAAAGGTTGAAACTGGTGAAGTGGGTATTTCTGGTTCATATTCCAGCAAAAGATACTTTGTAAACAAGGAATGGATAGCAGAAACCTTCAGCACTGGAACTAAGTACCCGTATGGATACTGACTCAAAAAGCCAAGAAGAAACCCAGGTTTCAAACTGTGGGGCTAACATATATAAAGGGCAAGATTCCTGGGTGTGTTAAATAGAGACGTTCTTGCATGCATTGCTTCCTGATTCTCTGTAAGAAATCTACTTATCTAACCTTCTTAAGTTGCTTTGGCAATGGGGACTGGGAAGACAGTTTAACCATATCTAACACGAAGTCTTGATAGTTTCCAAACTGTACCAAACAGATTTGATCTCTTATATAAAGGGTGTGTTTTTTTGGGGGGGGGGGTCCTTTGAGTCAGTGTTAACTCCTGGTGACTGCCTGAACTAGCCCTGCAGTTTTCTTGGCAAGATTTTCAGAAGTGGTTTGCCATTGCCTGCTTCCTAGGGCTCAAAGAGAGGGACTGGCCAAAGGTCACCCAGTTGGCTTTGTGCCTAAGATGGAGCTAGAACTCACAGTCTCCAGGTTTCTAGCCGGATACCTTAACCACTACACCAAACATGCTTTCTATACAAAGTTTACCTACAACTAAATAAAGGAAATAAACATTTATCAGAAAACCCTTAATTAATAAAATCACTCCATTCTGTTACTCACTTCAAAAATTATCTGTGCTTTTACCACTCAGCATAATACAGGTAGTCCTTGTTTAGCGACTGCACCTGGGACCGGCAACTCAATCGTTAAGAGAAGCAATCGCTAGGTGAAAAGTCACATGATCGCGACTGTGCTAATGATTTTACTTCAGTTTTCCTTTGCATTACAGCATCACAATGATACGACTCCAAACAGCTAGGTGAGCCCAAATGGTGGGGAAGATTTCTGGAACTTGATTCACGAGGAAGCCTGGGTAAAAATCTTATAGCCTTTCCCCCCAACTCCCCTGCCCTTTGGAATGTTCACCCCAGCACTGGGATAATGAGCAAGAAGAGAATTGTATTTACTGTATACTCATTAGCGAGAAAGGGATTACAAGAGAGTAAGCAGGCATACAATGATGAATACACATCAAAAGGGATGTGCTAGCACCTGCTGTTTGCCTAGTGCACTCCGCAGCTTATGGGGCAAAAAAGCCTTTAGTGTGAAATTGATTAGGGTCCTATCAGTTACAGGCAGCAGCTACAGCTGGGGGAGGGTTCTAATCAGCTAATAAAGGTCACAGAGCTGACCCTGTTATCTTGCAGTAAGCACTTTTTAGAGAGGTGCTGTACTGCAGAGAAAACCAGCTCAGGAAGAGATAGCTTGTTTAGGCAATTTCTCCACTCTGCAAGGGAAGAAAAAGAAAAAAAATGGGTCAGGCATAGGACATGTACTAACTGACTGTGATAGCAAACACGTGACTGAGAGTGAGATGTGACTAAGGTCGTAAATGTGGGCATTGGTCACAAAGTTACTTTTTTATGACTGTTGTAACTGCAAGTGATCAGTCTGAGGCAGTTGCTAAAAAAAGACTACCTGTATCTATTTAACAAGTAGCAAGTCCCAGACTAAATTAATTGCATTTTGGACCCTAATGGAGTCTGAATCTAATCTATAAATCCAATAAGTCACAAAAACATTTCCTTTTTTTTGCAAAAAGTCCACAAGGGATTCATATTCCCTCCTTCCAGATAACTGAGCTAAGACGTGCCTCAGTAACTTCCACAGGACCTGCCCAGCTGAAGTCTAACTCCAAACCAAGTCAAGCAACTTTGTCCGACAGATGCCTAAAATAGTACTCACAGCAACCCTGCAAGGGCTCACCTAGTCCCTCCTTACCCAAGAGGGTCCCAGTCACCTGAAACAGGACTGCTGCCTGGCTATCTGTGGATACAATAACAGCAGAGAAGTGAGCATGCTTTGCTGCTCTTATTGCCACAAGGTAAGTCCTAATAAGGCTCTTATCTGTGCCTAGTTGGCTTTGTCCTTTATCTTTCTCCAGTGGTGCTCTAGGCATCTCTTGTGTTGCTTCATGTCTGAAACTCTTCCGTGAACCAGGGGGCTCTACAGGATCCATGATTGCAGAGAGTCTGCATAGGTGCAAATGGATCCAAAGCCTTCATCCCGCGCTCATTCTAAGCCATGACTAAGGCCTCAGTGGAACCGTGCACCAGAGCCTTAAGAAAAAACCAAAACTCTCTCTGAACCCCTGTTAGGCCCATCAATTGCCTGGGGCAGGCTGATCAAATAGGCCCAACCTCCCTGTAGTGCGGGCTGGCTATAAACTCCAGGGCCAAGAGGGAGTGATCTGTCCATGGCAAGGGACTAATGTTAACATCCCCAACCCCAGCTCACTTTGCAACTGCCCTAAGACAAAAACCAGACCCAATGGGCAACCTCCACTGTGAGTTGGGCTGTCAGTAAGCTGGATCAGGTCCATGGTTGCCATGGTGGCCATGAACTTCTAATCCATATCTGACTCTGGGCCCAAAGAAGGCAGGCTGAAGTCCCCCAGCACCATTAGTCTCGGTAAGTTCACTGCCAACTCAGCCACTGAGTCAAGGTGCTCAGGCAGAGCTGCTGCTACACTGCAGGGAGGGAGGGAGGCAAGCAGTAAACCCAACTTATTCCTACAGCCTAATTTCACAAAGATGGTCTCCCACGTGGCCATGTCTGGTCACTAGAGACTCCCAGATAACAGCAGCCATACCCCACCTTTGCCTTGGAATTATGGCTGGTGCTACACCTGAAACCCAAGAGGGGACATTTCTGAGAAAGGAGCACCCTCCTCCATACCCAACCAAGTTTCAATAATACACACCAAGTTGGCCCTCTTGTCCACAATCAGATCATGGATGAAGTGAGCTTTGTTGGAGGCTGGCCAAGCATAAGGGGATGGAACACAAAACCAGTGTTAAATACCTGGGCCACCTCCCCTGAGAGTAGCCCAACCCCTCCTCCTGTCATATTTCCCCATGCCCATTACTACCTCAGTGCTGCCCCCCATTCCGTCCCCGATACTCCCTTCCCCAACTCTAATAGGCCCATCATAGTCTTACCAAACACTTTTCATTCCTTGTGGGAGAGTACACTCAACCCAGCCACCTAAAGTTTCTGTCACACATTCAGCACCTGTGAGTGGGGCAGTTCCACCACCCCATCTGTATACACACTCTAAACCTCTTCCCCTCTCCTCCTCCCACTGCCACCCTACTCACAAAGGAGACTTCACAACAGGCGCAGCAGGCTGGGCTCAACGCCCCCACCCCCATATCTCACATGAGAACAAGAGGCCAGCACAGCCTCACCACACCTCCACTTCTAAAACATTATCAACCAGCAAATCTCCCAGATCTTTTCTCTCTCTCTTATTCTCTCTTTTAACTTTATTGCTCCAATTCCCACCAAAGGAATTTAGTAAAATAGGAAGGAATAACTTTTCTTCCTTCCTATTATGCTAAAAATCAGGATGTTGATTTTTAGTGCTCCTTGTTTTATAAGCATATAAGGTATTAGTTTTTACTGACAATTACTAGAAATAAGTCATTGTAATCTTTCACTTATCTTGCATTTTGGCATCACACATTATTTCCATCAGTGATAACACATGGTAATTAAGAGCCAAGAATAATTCATTTTAAGAGCAAACCTGATATAGGATTATCCTTTTCCCCTTACAGAAATAATGTTCTCTATGTGACTAACTTTTGAATCTATTTATGCCCAAACTACTACATCTCCTGTGTAAGTCAAGAATAAGCATAATTCTGCATGCAACTGACTATGAAGAAGTATCTGATTTGCTTATACAGGTAGTCCTTGTTTAGTGACCACAACTGGGACCAGTAACTCCATCGCTAAGAGAAGCAGTTGCTAAGTGCGAAATCACATGATTGTGATTGTGCTTTCTGGCTCAAAACTGACAAGACTAATCAGTTTCACACCTTTGGCTTCTGTTTGCTTCCTAACCACTCCCCCACCCTTTGGAATGCTCACTCCAGTGCTGGGATAATTAACAAGAAGGAAGGTAGTGTTGGTATTTACATTCATTGTGAGTGGGTGGGAGAAACATGTCAGACACAGGAGAGATTGCCTACAGAAATTGCTTAGTTTTTTTCTCCCCACTCCTCGCAGAGTGGAGAGATTGGAGAGGGAGGTATTACAAAAGAGTAAGTAGGCACACAATGGGGAATACACTCGGCTGCTGGCATGGTGTGCTAGCAGCTGTCAGGGCCAGTGCATTGCTTTTGATGTGTATTTCCCATTGTGTGTCTGCTTACTCTCTTGTAATCCCTTCCACTCCAATCCCTTTGCTCTGCAAAGGGGGAAAAACAACAAGTTAGGCACAGGACACTGCGTATGACTGTAATGATGATAACGTGACTGAGGGACAGCACTGTCATAACTCTGATTGATTGCTGAATGAGGCAGTCGGTAAGCGAGGATTATCTGTAAAGACAGCTAAATGAAAGAAGCACATCATTAGAATGAACAGATCATTCATGTTTTGTATTTGAAAAGTCCAACAATTATGAACGCAGTTGTTGTTTAGTTGTTAAGTTGTGTCCGACTCTTCGTGACCCCATGAACCATATTGCGCCAGGCCTTCCTGTCCTTCACTACCTCCCTGAGTTTGCTCAGTTTCATGCTCCATGAACACAGTAAAAAAGGGCTAAGAGGGTAAGTTCAGAATATGTGTGCACCAACAAGATTATGAACAGCTGTATCTGAAGTTATGGAACAGAAAACCATGCAGAACTGTAGCTTCAGACAGAAGAGAAAGCTAAGATAAACATATGCTTACATAGCATGAAGAGCATATAATCCAGTAGAAGCACATTCTTCTGTCACAAGAAACTTTATTGGGAAAGTCTGTATCCATGGATGTAGACTTTGTGAATGAAGAAGGAATCAGCATATTCACCCAGTAGCCTCTGAAAATCCCAGGAAGGAAAAGAAAAAAAACAGCTCAGTGAATATTTGCTAATACAATTTATCATCACTGTTATCACCATCATCACCACCACCACCCCGCTGTTCCAGAATGCAAGCCTCATTCATTCAACCAAGATTTCGCCAAGCATGTGAAACTGGGGTCATAATTTCTCCAGTCCTTTCTATATCCTTATTTAGCCAAAGGACTATTTATTAATTATGGAATAAAGGATAAAGGAAAGAGAATGAGATGATGTAGTGTTGTCAGTCAAATTGAGAAAAAAAACAAAAGAGAAAGAACAGCACTGAAGTTGTTTTGCCTCTTCCACAGGAAATAGCAAGCATGATCTCAGGGTACTCTAGAGCTTTGCTAAAAATCAGGATTTCTTCTTCCTTGTGACAGATTGCACCAGTAACAAAACTACTTAAGCAAATAATGGGAAAAGTATGGATCACATGTTGTTGCTTTGGTGTTCTTTAAACAAACAAGCAGGCAGGAGGGTACCAACGTTTTCATTAAAGAAACTATGCCCTGGGCACCATAAGGCCTACCTAGATAAATGTTATTGGGGGAGAGGGAGGGGAGGGGTGCTGAGGTCAAATTCCCCCTTTTTTTGCCACATCAAATTACTAGGAGCTCCACCCATCCCATAATCATTATATACAGCCCAAAGCTCCTCACTTCTAGTAATATAAGAAAGGACATGAGCTAAAACACTATTCATATCGTATAAATTAAACAAATCCACCTAGAGTTGCATGATAATTATAACTTTTGTTTTTTAAAAACAATATCAAATTTTAATCAACATTTCTTGATAAATGAGATGAAAAGAACTTGAAATTTAAAAGCTTTAGAAGAAAGAAGGAGACAGATGTTTAGGAAAACAATGTGAAAGAAAGTAGAATTGACAGAATTAGTCTATGGTCTTTCTAATATCAATTCTCCCCGATTTTCTGATGCACTAGAAAGACGTGGATGTGGAACATCATTTGCATGAATGCAAACTAGTATCTATTACCAGTTCTTCAGAATAATTTCCAGCTGTTCTAGAATTAGTAACCGTCAGTGGTAGAATATACTATTTTTATATAGATTGTCTCAAGTTCAATTCCTGGCAACTCCATTTAAATGAACTTAGCTAGCAAGTTGGAAAAAACAATCCAGAAAATGGCTGCCAGTAGGAATTAACAAAATGAACCAAGAGTTCCAAGAGAAGATAATATATGTAGGATATCTCAGGATTGAACTATGGAGTTCTTGGGGCTCTCTGAGCTTAGTTGTTTGCCTGCAGATGTTTCATTACCCAACTAGGTAACATCAGTGTGAGTGAGTGTGGGGTTTGTTGCCTGTTTATGTATAGTAGCTTGCCCTGCTAGTTGTGGTGGGGATGTAGTTTCATCCTTGGTGGTTCCTTGATTGGAGTATTGGTTTCTGCCTGAATGTTTGGTGTTGATCCCTGCTTATCTGAGTGTTCGCTGCTGGAGGGGAATAAGTCCTCCTGCAAAATCTGCAAAATTCTTCTTAAATGATTATTTTATTAAAAGTAAGCAAAAAGCAAGCATAAGCAGCTTGCATAGGAATTCATATGATTTCATAATGAGCAGGAAGGGAATAATAATATATGCAAATTAAAAAACGCTCTAGAACTTTATATGTGTATGCATACATGTATTCTTCAAAGTGAAAAGATGAGGGATGAGGAAAAATGTATGCCTTCTGGGAGTAATTTTGTTTTCTTATACTTAATTGCATTTAAAACACAAACAGTATATGCTTTATTTTACCATGTGATCAAAGTATTGGGAAAAAGCAGTCTAAATAAACATGTAATAAATAAGTATCAGAAATATAACAAAAGCAGCATTTTTGCTTCTCTGGGTTGCTTAACCTATTTTTAACCACTGAACCCAAATCACAATAAAAAAGAAAACTGTCCCACAAATACCCCTATATTAGATTTATTTATTTATTTATTTAATTTATATCACTGCCCATCTCACATACATGACTACGGGTGGCTTACAATGGGTAAAGAATTATTAAAAATTATATACTGACTATATATTAATGGAAAACATATCAAGTGCATTTTACATAATCTCCATGTCTTTCTCTCTCTCTCTGAAGAAAATTTCAGTCAGGGCCAATAATGTTAACTCAATTATATTACTTAACCAATATCTTCAAATAACAAAATAATATTGTGTAGCTTAAAGCGAGCATATTTATTATAGCAAATAAATATTTCATTTGATCCACTGGAGGTATATAAACAAGCTCCTGACTTATTTAATTTCTATCATCATGTTGTCTGCTGTGAGTTCTGCCTGCTGCCAAACAGATCTAAACAAGCTACTGATTTTGTTTCTCAGGTTAGTGGCAATGGAAGCTACAGACAGATGACATAAATGTTAAAGAAGCTAGTACAGCACATTGAAACCATGGTTGACTTAAACATGTTTTGTAAATAACCTCTATTTCACAGGGTTCATATCACATACCAAGTCACAAACAGACAATATTTTGGCTTAAACCAATATGTGTACCCAGCCTGTATGATGAATTTGTTCAAGATAATGAGCAGAGACAGAGAAGAACAATACAACCTCTTCACAAAGAGTTGATTAATTATCATTTTACCAAAGCCAGAGGTTTTCAAACATTTTCAGGCTAAAGGTACCCAGGCTAAAGGTACCCAGCCTGGTTTAAACAGGTACCCAGCCTGTTTAAAAAGACATCCAGAGCCCACGATCAAGAGGCAAAAGTCTATGACAGAAAATTGATGGCACGCAAGTATTACTTGTACACTGTTTGCTTCTAAGCCCACTTCCCCATAACAGAGACCATATATCACCAAATCAAATTGTTTAACAAATTATTTATTGTGGTGTTAATTACTGTACAAGATTAGGGAATGCCAGCATGCAATCCAGGAAGAAAAAAGGATGATGGGAAAGGGAAGAATATGGCAACCGTGGAAACCAAAAAATGGGGTAGGGGAAAGGAACCGTATTAGAAAGGGGTAATGGAGACAGAATGATCAAAAGATGGTTGGTAAATTATTAGTCCAGATACACCCATAAATATATTCCCTAAAAGATGATAAAGAGATACAGTGGTACCTCGGGATACGAACTTAATCCGTTCCGTGACTCTGGGCGTATCCCG